AAAAAAAAAAAAAAAAAAAAAAAAAAAAGAGAGAATTTCATCAAGAGGGAAGTTATCCCTTCTATAACATCGTCCTCATTACGGGAGGTAAGAATGGCAGGATAACAGTTTCTAGAATGGAAAAGTAGAGATCTGGCCTGATTCTCTCACCATGGTGTGCCCTGGGGAGGCCTCATCTCCTGGCATCAAATTCTGTGTGTTAAGATATCTATGGCCCAATTCAAAATGGCTTAAGCAATAAGAATGTTTTGTTTTCTCATATAAGATGTTTGGAGGTAGGCATGTCCAAGGTTGGTAGAGAGGCAGTTGAACAATGTGATCAAAAACCCCGATTCTGTCTGGGCCTGATGATTCACACCTGTAATCTCAGCACTTTGGAAGGCGGAGGCAGGCGAATCACTTGAGGCCAGGAGTTCAATACCAGCCTGGCCAACATAGTGGAACCCTGTCTCTACCAAAAGTACAAAAATTAGCCAGGCATGGTGGCATGTACATGTAGTCCCAGTTATTCCAGAAGCAGGAGAATTGCTTAAAACTGAGAGGTGGATGTTGCAGTGAGCTGAGATCCCATCACTGCACTCCAGCCTGAGCAACACAGTGAGATGCCGTCTTGGGAAAGAAAAAAAAAAGACTCTGGTTCTGTCTATCCTTTTGTGCCATCATCCTCAGTGTTCTGTTATCCTGGGGAATGCCCCTCATGGTTGCAAGATGGCTGCTGTAGCTCAAAGCATCACATCACTACATGCGAAGGTCCAAAAGAGAAAGTTAGGACATCCCTTTGAGCCTCTTTTTAAGTGTGAAGAAAACTTTCCTGGCTGGATGCAGTGGCGCACACCTTCTGACCTTACACTCCTTGAGCCCTGAAGTCCACTGTAGTCACACTGGCGTCCTTGCTGTGCCTACTCCACAGCGAATGTGTCCTGGCCTCAGGCCCTTTGCATTTGCTGTTCCCTCTACATGGAACGCCCTTCTCTCAGGTCACATACAGCATACATTACTGAGTGCTTTCCATGTGCTCAGCATGGTTTGATGCACTCTACATACATTAACTCATCAAACCCAACAGCTCTATGAGATGAGTCTGTTATCTCCATCCCCATTTGATTGATGGGGCATGCCTGTGGGAGCTCTGCCCATACATAAGCACATTCTGGAGGTGCCAGGCCATTCACTAATGGGGGCAGGAGCCGGAAAGTAAATGCCAGTCTTTCAGAGAGATGCTCTAGACGATTCAGATCTTTCTGGACCCTTCTCAGAGACCAGAAGTACTCAGCCCTATTGCTACAACTGACTTCACTAACACACCCTCTGTCCCATTCCTCCCACCCCTCACTTCTGCTTCCAGGGATCACCACCCACATAAACGACTTTCACTCAAGTCTCAGACTTGCTATCAGGGAATGAAGACAAAAACAAAAGGGAAACTTGATACTGGGTCATCCCCTATAGTTCTGTACCTCGCCTGGGCTATTTTATTAGATGTGTGACCTTGGGCCAGTCCCCTGTCTGTGCCTGTTTCCTAATCTGCAAAATGGACATAATGTCACCTAATTCACAGGGATGCTGGAAGAATGAAGAGAGCCGATATTAGGTGAAGTCCTTAGAACCGTGCACAACACATTATAGGTGTTCAATAAATGTTTGCTGTTTGATTGGACTTTAAATTATAATAGGGCTTGAAGGTCTGTCTGTGTCTTCACTTTCAGACTAGTCTTGATGTATTAGTCAAGACTTTTGTTTACCAGTGACAGAAAGCCAATGTGAATTAGCTTAATGAAAATGGGGATGCTTGGCTATTCCCTTGACCAAGGTGAAGCCAGGCCTCAGGGGAAAGTAGGTTGAGAGATTTCTTTTCTCTGCCCCTCACTCAGCAGAGGGATTATCTCTACATGTCAGCAACATGGCTGTCTATAGCGATTGATATTTGGCTTTAAATAAGGGAAGCCTGACAAGAGAGACTTAATACAACTTAAAATGTTTCTTCCATTGAAAAATAAAAAGTCTGGCTGTGTGTAGTGGCTCACCCCTGTAATCCCAGCACTTTGGGAGGCCGAGGCGGGCAGATCACCTGAGGTTGGGAGTTCAAGACCAGCCTGACCAACATGGAGAAATCCCATCTCTACTAAAGACACAAAATTAGCCAGGCATGGTGGTGCATGCCTGTAGTCCCAGCTACTCGGGAGGCTGAGGCAGGAGAATTGTGTGAACCCTGGAGGCAGAGGTTGTGGTGAGCCAAGATTGCACCATTGCACTACAGCTTTGTCAACAATGCTTGAGATGGAGTGAAATTCCATCTCAAAAAAGAAAAAAAAAAAAAAAAAGGCTAGAGGCAGGAAGTCCATGGCTGGGATGACTGCTACATGATCCTTAGTGGCATAGGTCCTTTCTATCTTTCTGCTGTAATTTTAGAGCAGAGTGTTCATTCTCAGGGTCACCTCCTATTCAAGATTGCTGCTGAAGTGCAAGCCATCTCATCCAAATTCCAGCCTGGAAAGAGGTGGAGAAATGGAAAGGCAAAGGATAGGACAGTTCCCTTTTATAGGATGCTATCTCAGAAGTTTTGTATATTACTTCTCCTTGCATGTCATTGACTGGAAATTGGTCATGTGGCCAACCCTGGCTGCAAGGGCAGCTGGTTATTTTGTCTTCATTCATCATGGCAATGTGCTCAGCTAAAATTGGAGTTCTCTTCCTAAGGAAGAATAGAGATTGATAAGTAGCTGGCAATCGGAGCCATAGCTCTCCAGTTATAGGCCGTGTGGCACAGAGAGAGGGAGAGAGAGAAAATTTCCAAGTTCCAGTCAGATGCCCACATATGAACAAACCAGCTATGGCCTTGGGGGACAGAGACTTTTTTAAAAGCATAAGCCACCATTATTTATTATAATGACTTAAAGGTATGGAATTAATTTAAAGATAATTACTGGTCGCCTGCTATTGGCTAGGCTAGACCCAGTGGATTTTGTGATGAGCAAAAAAGACACTGCCAATCTCTGCCTTGTGAAGCTTACAGTGCAGTGGAGGATTCAGATAATGACCAAACAGTCACATGGGTTAATGGAAAGTAAACATTGATGGTAGGTGCTGCAAAAGAATGGCATGTGGTTCTGAGGACGTGTCTTAGTCATTTTGGGCTAAGTTGGGCTAAGGTATTGCTCTACCACAGCAATACCATAGACTGGGTGGCTTATAAACAACAGAAATTTATTTCTCACAGTTTTGGGGGCAGAGAAATCCAAGATTAAGATGACTTTGTATCTCCCCAACATTCATATGCTGAAATCCCAACCTCCAGGTGATGGCATTGGGAGGTGGGCCTTTGGGAAGTGATTATGTCATGGGGCAGAGCCCTCATGAGTGAGATTAGTGTCTTTTTTTTCTTTCTTAGAGACAGGGTCTCACTTTGTTACTCAGGCTGGAGTGCAGTGGAAATGTAAGGAAAACTTCAAATTTT